GACATCGACTAACTGGCGGATGAGAAACGTGATAGAACCGATCCGTTGTTAGTGGTAGCCCGTGAAGAGCTTACTGATACTGAGGGAGCCCCACTCATGGTGGGATGATAGTTAGAAGATGAAGTCGTGAGAAAGGAAAAGGGAGAATGGTGATAGACGATATTGACATTCTTGTAGATGAAGAGAGAAATAAAACTTAGCGATTGTAAAACTTCTTGTCCCATGTATCAGTCTTGCACAGTCCCTAAGTTCGTCGAGCACGAGCTCGACGAACTAAATTTTCCTTCGGTTTCTCAGGATATCGTTCGTGGAACTCTGTGAGAATTTCATCTGCACCATCAACATTTTCCTTCGGTTCCCAAGAGACAGCATCATCAGTTCCCTCAAATCCCAACCACTCTACTAAGTACTCAACCTTTCCAGATCTCCTATTTATCCTAGAATCTAGAACATTCTTGACTTCCCACAACTCTCCTGAGTCATCAACTTCGACTGGATCAGGAAGTTCTGCCTCCTGCCCCACGAAGTTCGTTGGTTGGAACTTCCTTAACAACGACACATGAAACACATTATGAAGCCTGGCCATTGAGGCTGGTAACTTCAACCTGCACGCATGAGTCCCAATGCGTTCAATAACTTCGTACGGGCCTGCTTGTTTAGCATCCAACTTCTTACTGGGTCTCTTAGTTCTAATATTCTCAAGAGATAACATTACTTTGCTTCCAATTTCAAAAAGCGGTGTTGCTGAGCGCTTTCGGTCATACGCTTCGGAGTATCTCTGATTGGCTAGTTTAATGCCTTCAACACATCGCTTGTGTATCTCCTGTAGGTCAGTAACAACTGCTCGAGCAACAGGAACTTCTACTTCAGATTCCTTAATCTCGTCTGTCCATCGTGGGTGGTACCCGAAGTTCGCGAAGAACGGGCTCATCCCAATAGCCGAGTGAATCGTGTTATTATACGCAAAGCTAGCCTTTGGCAATAACTTCGCCCAATCATCCTGCTGGTAAGAGGCGAATACTCGTAGATACATTTCCAAAGCTTGATTTGTTCGTTCAGTCTGGCCATCAGTCTGTGGATGATACGCAGTGGAGAGATTTAGTCTTATACCAAGACTAGCAGTGAGATCTTTCCAGAACTTCGATGTAAACTTCGCTCCTCTATCCGAAACTATCCCTTCTGGTAGTCCATGCTGAGCCACCACATGTTCAATTACCAAATCAGCTAACCCCCCAGCTGTGAGATTCGTCGTCGTTGGTAGGAACATCGCCCACTTCGTCAACCGGTCAACTATAACCAAAATCGAGTTGAAACCATCTGACTCAGGAAGTTCTTCAACGAAGTCCATCGAAATACTAGACCAGGGCTTCTCCGCTACTTCCAGTGTCTTCAGCGTTCCTTGAGGTTTCTGTCTGTTTGTTTTAGCTCTCTGACAAACCACACAACCTCCAACGTAGTCTTCAACATCCTTCCTAACTCCATTCCAAATGTAATCTCTAAGCACTAATTCTAACGTCTTCGTAACTCCAGGATGACCGGCCAATACCGAGTCATGTCTAGATTTCAAAATCTTCACTCGCATCTCTTCGATATTCGGAACATATAATCGTCCGTCAAACCGTAGGAAACCCCTTACCGACCACGACGGATTCACGAACATTCCATGTCGTGATCGTCGTCGAAATTCTTCAACTTGCCATGGCTCCTGACGTTCAGCTCTACATTCGGGGTGAGAACACTCAACGCAGATGACTGCTAACATCCCCTCCCGAACTTCGTTTATTTCTTCATCAACTTCGTATCCTTTAACAATGTCCTCGCCTTCGATCCGATCTTCCTCCCTAACTTCTTTTGTCCCCTGCAAAGCCCGGAGCATGTGTCCCAGGCTTGATTCAGTAACATCTTCCGAGTCGAACTTCGGCAGCCCTTGGACGAAGTTCTCCTCTTGTTCCGTCGTTATTCCTTTTATCCCGGGATGATAGTCCGGTCGTCTTGACAAGGCATCTGGCAGCGTCGCTTGCTTCCCGGGACGGTAAATCATCGTAAATCTGAAGTTAGCCAGTTCTTCTACCCACCTACCTTGTCTAGGATTCAATTGTTTCGGGGCCATCCAATATGTCAGATTAAGATGATCTGTCAAGACCTTCGTTTCTACCTGTAGTAATAAGTGTCTCTTCCTCCTGAAACCTTCGACTATTGCTAACAACTCCTTTTCCCCCGTAGTATAATTCAACTCAGCACCCTTAAAAGCTCCCGATTCTATAGCCACAGGGTGTTCCCTACCTTCTTTATCAACCTGTGAGATAATATATCCCCATCCAAAGAACGAGGCATCTGCCTGCATAATCGTTTTCAAGGAGGTGTCGAAGTGAGCTAGCACTGGAGCTTCACATAACTTCTTCTTCAGCACTCTGAACGCCTCCTCTTGCTCAGTTCCCCATGTGAAGCTTACATCCTTGCGAGTAAGATCGTTCAGAGGCTTCGCAAGTTTCGAGAAGTTCGGGACGAATCTTCGGTAGTAGCTGACCATTCCCATGAACCCTCGGGATTCTCGTAAGTTCTTAGGTCGAGGAAAATCCTGTACAGCAGCAACGTATTCTGGGTTTGCCGAAATGCCTGATTTTGAAATTACGTACCCGAGAAACACCACCGAAGTTCGTTCAAACTCACACTTCGCCGCCTTCACAAACAATTTAGCTTCTCTAAGTCTTTGAAATACCTTTACCGTACACCTCCTAAGTTCCTCCTTAGTCTTAGCATAAATCAGAATGTCGTCGATGTACACTATGACCCCCTCCCCTAGTAAATCCCTAAAGATGTCGTTCAAGAAGTGCTGGAACACAGCAGGCGCATTTCGTAGACCATCCCTAACCACTAACGACTCGTACATTCCGTATTGTGTACGAAATGCTGTCAGATACTCGTATCCTTCAGCAATTCGTAACAATTGGTATGCCCCCATCAAGTCGAGTTTCGTAAAATAGTTTGCTGTACCTAATTCTTCAGTAATCTGACTGATCAATGGAAGGGGATAAACGTCTGGAATGGTAACTTCGTTTAACTTCCTATAATCCGTCACCATCCGCCACTGTCCTTTTACCCTTTTGGGAACCATGAACATAGGTGACCCATAAGGCGAGTTACTCTTTCGAATTCTACCAGCCGCTACCTCCTTCTCCAGAATCTCCCTTAACGCCTTTCTCTGATCTTCAGCTAACGAGTACAGCGGGGCCACCTTTAACTTCGCCCCCTCCACTAGGTCCAGTCTCAAATCGTAACTTCGGTTTGGAGGTAATGTCTCTCCTCCTACCTTAGGATTAAAGATATCCAAGAAACCATGGTACTCAGAAGGTACCACTTCCAGCAGTTCTTCTTGTTCTTCCTCACTAAGTTCGTCTTCCAACGCCGAGTCTCTAGGCCCTAAAACCTCCCCTTCCTTGAACCCAAAAACCGCTCCTAACTTCTCCCCTTCTCTTTTCTGTCTACCCGGGATCTTTATTACCTCCTCCCTAACATCCAGGACCACTCCTTCCTTCTTCATCCATTCCCATCCTATCACCACATCTGCATCGCACAACTTCGTGACGTCCAACCGAATCATACGAACTTCGTCCTCAACTGACACACGAATCCCCGTTTCAACGAACTTCGTGATGGGGCCACCAATACTTTCTGAACCATCGAACATACGTACAGGTACTTCCTCTGGGTATCTTATAACTTCCAATCCTAACTCCTCCACTGTTTTTGGGTTTATATATGAACTGGTCGCTCCTGAATCCCATAAGGCGACCACCTGGGCCCCTTTTACGTTGATTTTTGTTTTTGGTTGTCTCGCATTAGTGATGGGTATCGTGATGAAATGTCCATCTTCGTATACACATG